CTTATCTTATTTTCTCCTCTTCAACCAAACAAATCATTAGTGCTAATATTCTTCTTCACTTTTATATTTTTTTTACTAATTCCATCATAGGATAAAAATACTCTAAGTGGAGAGGATCACAGTTCTTAAATATTGACTTAAACTTTTAAATCCAATTATAAACCATATCCTAAAAGTAGGGTGGAAATTAGTAATACTATGAGAGGTTTTGATTAATAAGTGTCTCGGATGTAAGGGTGAAAACATGTCAGACCGCCTATCAGGGGCCTATTATCTGACCTATAACATGTTAGGCCAGACCAGACTTTTTTAGTAAACAGGTCAGACTTAGGCTTCTCCGAAAGCCTATTTAACCGAAATAGGTCAGGCTCGGGCCTTTTAAAAAACCTATTAAGTCTAACAGCCGACCTATGTAATGATATTATATATTTATAAATTATTTTTATAACATGTACAAAAAATAAATAAGAAATATGTAAATAATCCACTAGCACAGAGAAATTAGACTATTTAATAATTATATATTTAATTGTTGAGACTTGGACTTAAGTACATAACCTAATTCATGTTAAATATTAGAACAATATCATATTTTACTATGATATTAAAATACATTGTTTTGTATATTATAACCTCAAAGACACCACAAATCCTTCGAATACATTACACAACATTGGAAGGTGATGAAAATAATTGTGATAATAATGTAAAAAAATTCACACTAATTGCTATAATTATAATAATTTTTTTTAGTTTGTACATAATTTTTTAATTTTTTACCTTAGCAGGTCTTTATAAAGGCTAACATGCCAGAACGAACTTTTAAACAGGTCAGACATAGACTTTGAAATTTTTTAAACAAACTAACACCTTAGGCCCAGGCTCCTATATACTATATAGGCTCGTCCTATTTAAGGCAAAACCTAGTCTGACCTAGCCTGTTTCCACTCCTACTCGGATGCAACGATTAAGGTCATTGCCCAACTCTTTGTTTTTAATCATTATTAAGAGTGGTGTTTGTTAATGTTTGAGAGGGATGGTTCTCAAGATTTTGTTTTCCATCAATAAATTTATTTTGCTTTGAAAAATAAAGAAAATATTTTCCTTTAAAATCAACTCAGTTAGCTGCTAAATATAAAATTTGGCTGTTTGAAATCTACTATGAACCACCCATTAAAAATAGGACAAGGATTATCTGTGTCATAATTTTCTTGTCTCCCTGTTCCTAACCAATCAAACTTCATAAAATAATATTAAAATATTAATTTCTGAATTTTTTTATTTTTAATTAAATGGAGCATTCTGATTGATTTGGTACACAAAATGAGACATGAATGAGGACATGTGATCTACAACCTTAAAAATATATAAAAAATTTGTGGCAGAGATCATAACTTTTAAACTCTAGTAGATTTGGTATACACTTTTTAATATAATAATCCACATTTAATATTGTGACAACTACACTTAATCAGTTTTCGGCATTTTCCATAGTGTGAATGATATTTGAGCGTGCTAGGTAAAACTGAATTTCAAATGCGCAATAATGTTGCCGTTGAATCACATCACACACCTTTTCTTCTTACACATTGAAGAAAACGATTTCAATGACTAATTGTCTTTCATTTTTTCAGAACCAGTAATATTAGGTGTACATTCAATACCGCGTTTGCAAGTGTGCCAAACAAAATATAATATAAAATCTATCAAAGATATATATATATATATATTTATTTATTTATTTCAGTGGAAATATTTATCTCCTAACAATTAAGATTTACTAGTTAATATATTATTCATCATTCATTTGTATTATATTTTTTTCAAAGATTCAATAATAAAAAATGAATGATAAATAATATAATGATAGTGTATAAAATTCATAAATTATTAACGGATACATTTTTTCTCATATGTTTTTTATAATACATTCATCATTTTTATCTATCACTTTTATATAAAAGACATGAATAATGATTTATAAAAGTATAAAAACTTATAGAATATACATTATTTTCTTAATATATATACATATATTAAAAAATAGCACATTTGATAGTATTGACTATCGTTAATAAATTAGCGTAAAAATGCTAACTAATGTTGATTATATTTGATAGTAATGAGTATAGTTATATAATAACCCAAAGTAAAAATGAGAATAATTAATATAAAATATACTTTATCTAAATAGTTAAGTTAGAAGTTAAATAAAATGGTTTAATGATAATGTAAGCTAAATATTTTTAATTTTAATCATGAATGGCTCAAATTTATTATTTCCACCATTTTTATATGACATTTTTATTAAAAATGCCCTAATTACACCAAATAAATAAATCCTAGTGGCTAAAGGGTGCATTCATATTTGTCACTTCTTTTGATGAATAGTCTATACAGCAACAAGTTAATAATAAATACAGAACATCTTTTCATAGGTACAAGATCACTTCATAGGTAGAACAATTCAAAATTTCCATAATACATTATTACTTTTCTTAAAATTATCTAAAAGTGGTGCAAAAAGTCTGAGAAAGAATGTAAAACTGATGCATAGAAAAATGAATACATAAACGCCAAGAAAGACCACAGCTTCATCATAAGACTAGCACATAGTGACATAGAATTGTACATAGATTTAGTTATATAAAATTACCATTTATGTGTTCTATTCTCAAATATTTTGGACAATTTAATCAATATTATTAAATTCGGATCAATAATTTAAGTTATTGGGTTAATAATTAGTTTCGTTATGTCAAAATTGCGGAGTTGTATCCCAAAATTTGATTCATAACCTTTGTAGCATTTATTTCTCAAATTGAACCTAAAAATATAAATAAAGCTATTATGGATGAACATTGGATTTTAACCATACAAGATAAGCTAAATCGATTTGAAAAAATAAGGATTGCATAATAGGTATTGCATGGGTTTTTAGAAACAAATTTGATGTATTGGGCCTTATTATTAGCGATAGGGCTATATTTCTGGCTAAAGTTTCCTATCAACAAGAAGTAATAGACTATAATGAAACTTATGCACCCATAGTTAGATTAGAAGCTATCAAAATACTTTTAGAATGTTCATCTTCTATGGCTTTTTCAAATGAATATGAAAACTATAGATTTTTCAGGTTTTGTATGCCCAATAATTGCATGCATGCCAGATTATAGACTTTACCTAAATTGCCAATATTATTGAGAAGTTAAAAACCAAAAGCTTGTTTATGTGGATTGTGGGCTAATACATGTGACCAATCCATGATATTTTAAGCTTTAAATTGTGAAATTAAGGGCTGAGAGATGAAATTAAATTTTCCCATTCCATGTTGATAGTGTTATACTTCTGCCTTGTTTGGCATAAATTCTTTTTTACTAGTTTAAGTTTATTTTTTGAAAAATAAGTTGAAAATATAAATTATGTATGTTTTACTAGTTTAAGTTTAGTAACTTCCATTTAATTATGTACTATATTATTTTAATATTGATACTGGTTTTTATATTGTATTTTATTTTAATATTTTTTTAGCCTTTGTTATTATGCAATATTAAAAATCATGGGTTGGTTTAGTTTTTTAGTTTATGTTTATCTATGTATGAGGTTATTTGTTTATGTTGATCTTATGTTGTTTTTTAATATTAATATTAGTTTTTATATTGTATTTTATTTTAATATATATTTTTTAGCATTTGTTATGCAATATTACAAAATTAAAGTAAAAATATATATGATGGTAAATATTAAAAATGTATATTTAAAACTTAGTGTAAAAAACAACCAAAATAATCATAACATAAACAAATAAACTCATACCCTTTTATGTAATTGACTATGTAAAAACAAATTTTATAACATATCCAAACAAAACAAATTAGTTTATATTCAATTTTCAGCTAAAGTACTCAAACACAAAGAGATTATAATCTTAACGGTTTATAATCTCACAATTTATAAACTGAAAATAAAAACATAATCTATACCAAACGCACGCTTATTGAATAATTTTTTAGCAAAAAATATTAGTATAATTAAATGGTTGATTAGTATAAAGAATCTTGCTAGTGGAAGGATTATGTTTGGGCTTTTAAGGTTTAATAAAAAATTGAATATTGCACATTAATGATATAATTTTATTTTCATTAATCTTTATGTAGGTTGGTTAAAGAATGCCACAACAGCCGTGCAAATAATTTCCTACCACAAAAAAAAATCAGGTGCTCCTAGTGATGATATTGGTTGATATAAGAGGACATTGCGATGATGAGTTCGAGGGAGGCACACCCTAAAAAAATTCTGCCATGATATAATATTTTTATAGTTAATATTTGTTACACCTTTTCCTTATATAAAATTAGAAAAGAGATCTATTGACTCCAAAAGTAAGTTTTTTAAACTTACTTCACATCTTAGTTATCAATTCTAGGGAAATCCAATGATTTGAATTAGTTGGTAGATCTGAATCATTGGATTTCCCTAAAATTGATAGCTAAGATGTAGAATAAGTTTAAAAAACTTACTCTTGGAGTAAGTGAATCTCTACCCATAAAATTATATGAATGTCACTTATTTATTATACACAATTTTATATCACTTAATCATTATTATTAATACTTGAATTAGTCATCAACTCGGTCAATTATTGGGTCAATGATAAAATTAGCAACTCACTAGTTAGACTAGTTAAATGGATATACTTTAAAAAATTGTTAAAGTTTTATAATACTAATTAACATTATTATTTAATAATTTTATATTTCAATTTTAAAAATACTGTGATTACAAAAATACTAATTAAACAACCATATAAATTTTTTTACAATAAAAAAATGTTACAAATAAATTCAAAACATCATACAATAACATAATTTTTATGAATTGACTGCAACGAAAAGTAGACAAATAAGTTTAAACCTTAATTAAACAAATTAGATTTTGTTACAATATAACTTAAAATTAGGAATGACAACGAGGCAGATCGGGGTTGGGTTTGTGCTTATTTAACCCCGAACTCGAAATCCAAAACTCGAATTCAAACCCAAATTGAGCGGTGTTAAAATTAACAATATCATCCCGAATCCGTCGGATTTTGGGTAACCCAAATCCGACGATGAACCTGAAAAAAATAAGTCAATATTATATATTGTATCACTAAGAGAATAAAAGATTGAAACACAATGCTACTATTCAATCAAGAAAACTGATAGTAAATGCTTGAAACACAATGTGATATTCCACTTCCCAAATGCATAAAATCATAACATTAAACCAAGAGAGCCTTGTTTTGTTTTTCATCATTCCCATTTCTATTATGATGTTTAGACAATATGCAGAGAGAGAAACAGAAATGCTAAAACAAAGAAACATAAATAATAAAAGCAACCCACACTCTTCAAACGAAGAAGATGGAGAAGAAGAAGAAATGAAGATGCTCGTTCCTCTTTGATTTCTCTTCAAAGATGGTCTTCTCTTTGCTTTCTAATTATATGTTGTGGGTAGTTGCAGCTATATGTGCCTATGTAGTGTTGGGTAACAAAACTAGGATTACTATATTAGAGTACTAGAGATAGATATTATATTATTAAATTATTCAATTTATTAATGGATGGGTTCGGGGCGGGTTCGGGATAGGATATCACATGTATCAAACCCGAACCCGGAAATTAATATCGGGTAAAACTCGAACCCGAACCAAATAACCACGGGTTTAACCTGATAAATTTGGGTTGAGTTCAGGCGGGTACTCACGAATTCGGTTTTCATTGTTATCCCTACTTAAAACTGACATACAAAATTCTAATAATAACAAACATAAACATAAATTAGTTCAAAACAAAAGATTCATGTTGTTATTTTGATGTTATTTTTAAAGAAATAATTGATTCAGCCAACTATACTAGTTAGATTGACTAAATTTCCAGTTTTTTGTGTGTAAAATAGTCAAATTGAATCATTCCATACCAGTTTTGATTCATAGCTAATCAAATAAGCAACTCCAGCCAGTTGGGTGTACAATCTAGATCAATCGATCTAATCGAATTTAATAACAGTATATTTATTATAACTTACACATGTGACCTGGGGTCCTAGATCCGTGAGTGATGATTTATTGATGAAAACACAACTATGAATCACACTAGAGAAGAAATTTTGTTGTTACATAAGAGAATGGGAAGATAAACAAAGATTTAGACAACATAGTGGAAGACTTGATTTTATATATGAAGGTGGGGGACTGTCTCGAGCAGGTGGTATTAGTCGAGAATTTGGTCAACCACGTAATTTTGAAAGCCTCAATCTTTGTTTATATATATTTTTTATGGTTTATCAATACTCTGTTATTTTGATGATAAAAGATAACCACTTCATATTGAAGATAGATTGAGATCAATGGATGTTGACCTTGCAATTGAAGCAACTAACTAAAACCTTATAAAATGTAACTACCTACTAACTAACTATCTGGAATGGTTTATTTGGATTGTAATCACAAGAATCTAAGCCTAGAAGGACAAAATCTGAAAGCTAGAAACCTAAGAGCTAACACTCTGTTTATGGAACGTATGAGCAACTTCTCCTTCAGTTGTAGACTTCGAGCAAGAAATGAAAGTGTAAATGGGCTCTTGTTTTGGGCTTAAATGGTTTGGGCTTGATCAATGATCTGCAATAGCCCCTCAAGCCGGAGAGTGGATGTTGAGAACTCCATCTTAGATAGAAGATAGTGAAATAGAGAAGGACCAAGTGGCTTTGTTAGGATATCTACATACTGATTAGTTATTGAAACTGACAATTGATGAAAGTGTTTATGTTGAATCATCTGATGAACCACATCACAATCTATTCCAATATGTTTAGTTTTTACATCAAAAATCAAATTGTTAGCAATGGGCCATGTTGATGAGTGTGGCTCCTCTCGAGTACTGGAGAGACCAGTATTGGAAGGAAATTATGCCATGTGTCTAAAATAAAATTAATGGTCCAGATTTTAAAATGATATTTAATTTAATTTTAAAAAATTACAAAAAAGACAAAAAGAAGGAGAGCATTAGAACATGGATGAAGGGAGAAAGCTTTTTCACCATTGCCTTCTTAAATAGTTGTTGTTGCACAGCCACGTCACTGTCTCTTTGCACCACAACTTCTTCTCCGGCGAGTCACTATCTCTAAGGGTGGCAAATGGATGAGTTTGAATTTGGATGAAAATGGATGGATGAAAAGATATCCATTAATCCATATAAATCCATTTAAACAATATTTTAAGTTATCCAATTATCCATATCCAATGAATTATAATCCATCCAATCAATCCATGACTCCATTTTTATGGATTTGGATGGATAGATATCCAATCTGTGACTTTACATTTTTAAAAAGTGCTTTTAAAAAAACATTTTTAAAAAGTTTTTTTTAAAAACACTTCTAAAATGGTGAATTTTTGAAGTTTTTATCCAAAAACTTAAAAGAGTAATAAACTTAAATATTGACTTTTAAGTTTTTAATTGTAAATCATGTGGTTAATGTTAAATTTATAGTCTTAAAACCTTAAGTGAGGTCCAAATTAGTGTTGTTAGAAAAATTTGACGTATATCATGAAATTCATAGATTTGTTTTGTTATTTCTATCATTCTTCATGTTTTTTGGTTGGTTACATGATTGATAGGTAGTTGAAATATCTAATTATATTTACCACAGTTAAATTACATGATTAGTAAAAAATGTTAAACACTCAATGCAATTATGTGAAGTCTAAGTAAAATGAAGGAAGATATTGGAAAACTAGTTTTTGTTGAAGGAATGCTTTTGTTAGAAAGGGTAATGCAACTTTTGAAGGAATCATTTTGTTAAAAAAAAAAGTTTGCATGTTTGTTTTGAGAGAAAAAAATGTTTTATTTTGAGAGGAAAAAAATGTGTCTCCATTGGATATAATGGAGGGATTTAAATCCATCCATTATCAACACTATCCATTTAAATTCATTAGCTCTAACAAATGGATTTAAATGAATTTAACTTGGATGGATTTGGATGAATTATGGATTGTGGATGATTTTGTCACTCCTAACTATCTCCTCCATATTCACTACAATGACTTTTGCTTTGCATAGATTTCAATTTGTCAACTTTCATCACATTTGAACCTGATTTTTTTATTCAATCCCATCTTTTTATGTTTCTCCTCCATACATTTTAGTTCTTAATATAGATTGAACTTTAAAATATTCATTCTGAATTTTTGTAATTCAGTGCACATGAACATGATTTCTTGTGTGCACCATGTGTTTGAAAAAATGCCTAAAAGTGTGAGTTATGTGTTTGAGAAAATGACTAAAAAACTTCTATTACATATGCTTCAAAATTTTAGTTTTCAATATAGATTGAGCTTGATTAACTGTACATAAACAAATTTGCTTATGTGCACCATATGTTTGAGAAAATGTCTACATGCGTGTGTCATGTGTTTGAAATTTACAAGATGCTTATGATGAGTCAATCTGTAGCTTCCAGTGATGGTATACATGTTTTTATTGAGAGACAAACTTTTTCATTCATGTGAAATGATAATTTTAATCATGTCATATATAAAATAAATTTGATTAACTTTTACAGTAATATATGCAGGACAAACTACACAATGATTCAATTTCTCAATATTTAGAACATTTAATTTTGAATGTAAGCGGACTTGGAAGTGGAAGTGAAGCCAAGTTTTGAATACAAGTCAAATTGGGAGGTCAAATCAATATCAAAGTTTATTTGGAGCTCATAGTTAAAGTCTAAAAACAAGCCATGTAAGACTTTTTTTTGGGTCTGTGATGTAAATTATTATATATAATTACATTTTGACAAAGAAGTGCATTTTATTGAGCATAGGTTTTGTTGATATAGTGGATACACTATTATGCTTATATTTTGCTACCTGATTAGGCAATGTAATGAATAACGTAATTTTATTCAACATAGGTTTTGCAAAGTAATGAATAACGTCAAGTTTCCATTGTCTATAATGGACACATTTTATTATGCTTATATTTCTTTTATATACTACAATTAATTCTATAGTCTATAGTCTACTGTTTATATTTTTTATAGCATAATGAATTACTCGTTTTTATTAAGCATGATTTGCATCTCTTAATTTGACTTTACCATCAGTGATTATTTGCAAGCATGACCATAAGATGCCCTACTACATGAAAATAAAAGAAGGGGTATTACAATATTGAGAGGTTATTAGGCACCTTTACACCATGTTTCATCAATTTATTCTAAGTGAAATATTTATAGTAATTTACACCCATTTTCGAATTGGAAACCCTTATAATGGTCAAGTAAAACAATAACTCTTTTTACAACTATCAAAATAATTTTCAAACTACAATGATCAATAAAAACCAAGAATGACTCATTATTTGCTTCAACCTTCAGAGGACACTTCAAAGTTAGTCGATTCCCCAAATTTCAATCATGATGCTTCTGGTATTGAGAAGATGACACATTTAACCACTGCATATCAAACAAACTGCAATAACCAAAATTTTAGTTCATGTCTATTGAACTGTGCAAGAAGTCAAGATGAATCATAATTTTATCCAATTTTTGGGGCATGGAGAGGAAAGGCAAAGGCATTCATTAATTATGTTTCACAATACTTCAAAAAAGAAAATGTCACTAACTAATCATTAGAAGGATTATAAAACTAAACTCACTTAAGATTCAGTAATTGTTTAATGTTAAGAACCATGGGCAACATAGTTTTGTAATCATTTTCTCAAACACATGACACAAATTTTAGACATTTTCTCAAACAAATGGTGCACATATGCAAATTTGTTCATGTGTACTTAATCAAGTTCAATCTATTAAGAACTAAAATTTTGAAGCTCAATCTATATTGAAAACTAAAATTTTGAAGCATATGTAATAGAAGTTTTGTAGTCATTTTCTCAAACACATAACTCACACTTTTAGGCATTTTGTCAAACACATGGTGCACACAAGAAAACATGTTTATGTGCACTGAATTAGAAAAATCCAGAATGAATATTTTGAAGTTCAATCTATATTAAGAACTAAAATGTATGGAGGAGAAACATAAAGAAGATGAGATTGAATAAAAAAAATCAGGTTTAAATGTGATGAAAGTTGACAAATTGAAATCTATGCAAGCAAAAGTCATTACAGTTAATATATAGGAGATAGTTAGGGGTGACAAAATTATCCACAACCCATAATCCTTTCAAATCCATCCAAGTTAAATTCATCCAAATCCATCTGAGCTAATGGATTTAAATTGATATAACCAATAGACATTGTTGATAATGGATGGATTCAAATCCATCCATTATATCCAATGGATATATCCATTTGGATGGATGCTCAATCCATCTAAAAAAATAAAAACATTTTTTTTTCTCAAAACAAACATGCAAACTCCTTTTTAACAAAATGATTTCTTCAAAAGTTGCATTACCCTTTCTAACAAAAGTATTCCTTCAACAAAAGCTAGTTTTCTTCATCTATGGAGGTTTATTTTTCCAATATATTCATTCCTTTTACTTAGACTTCACATAATTCCATTGAGTGTTCATCCATTTGCCACCCTTAGAGATAGTGACCCGTCGGAGAAGAAGTTGCGGTGCAAAGGGACAGTGACGTGGCTGTGCAACAACAACCACCGAGGAAGGCAATGGTGAAAAAACTTTCTCCTTTTTCCTTCAACCGTGTTCTACTGCTCTCCTTCTTTTTGTTTTTTTTTGGTAATTTTTAAAATTAAATTAAATATCATTTTAAAATCTGGACCATTGATTTTATTTTAGACACATGACATAATCTCCTTCCAATACTGGCCTTTTCGGTACTGGAGAGGAGCCACACTCCATGTTGATATACTATTATAATAAATAAAAGCAGTAAAAATAAAAGGAATGGAAAATGATTCAAGCAAGAAAGTTAGTCATTGTATTTCACAAGAAGTTGCAGCCAATGCCCTATATTCATCTTCAAAAAAAAGATCTTGCAACAACTTTTTGTTTCTTGATCATCCACGAGATGAGGGATTCTTCTAAAAAAAACACAATATCTAGATATAGACTTCCCTTAATTTTTGCATGTACCCCAATCTAAATAAAAAATGCCTTAAGTTGCAAAGTAGAAGTAGCAATATAGAATAACCATTGACCTCGAGATGAGTTAATATACCTTAGTACCCTAGTTAAGGCCTTGTAATGAGTTTGAGTGGGATCGGCTATGATTTGGATAAGTTTTTTAACATCATAGTTAATATCAGGCCTTGAGCTTGTTAGATATACTAATCTCCGAAATAATCTCCTATAACGAGCAGAGTCTGAGTAAGGTTGTCCATCATGTTGGTGAAGCTTGGTTACTTTTACCATGGGAGTTGAAAGATGTTTAGAAGATAGAAAGT